AACTGCTTCTATGAGAGATTTGCTTGAAATACCGTGTTAGGCGTTTGAGATGACTGCACCTGTTTCGACAACACAGACATTCAAATGTGAGATACTTTAAATATTCAGTCTAGAGTTAGATTTGATTTTATCTATTTATTAGATTGTTTCGTATTGTTTAGATTTGAATCTATGGAAGTCTACGACACTTATTTCCCTTGTTTTGGTGATAATATAATGCAATTTTTGAGTTTTTCTAAAATATTCTCGCAAAAATCTCAGACAAAAATATACTTCCTCGGTCCTGGCTACCGTGTCATCTTTACTATAGACATGAGAATTTAGTAGTAGTATAATTAGTAAATAATTAAGAATGTCTTAGTTAAAATAAATTATCGTATTGTAAAAATAATTTAAGATTAAGATAACTAATTAGTCTAATTAAAATTAACAAAAATGAAAAATATTAAAATGAGATTCAAGTGTATAATTTTTTTCCAAAAATGAAAGTGACAGAATAAAAGTGGGACAGACGAAAATGAAAATGTGGACATAGTTACTACCAGAAAAATTAGAATCGGCTTGGGAAAATTGTCTCGGAATCAATTCCGAGACTATAAAAACATATACGTAATATATATTAAATCAACAAAAATTAATTGGCCTCAGATTTGTTAAAATGATCTCGGAAATTCCGATGCCAAATTAAAAATATATTTCATTATATTTAATAGTTTCGGAATTTCCGAGGCCAAAGTAAAAATATATTTTATTATATTAAATAGTCTCGGAAATTCCAAGGCCATCCAAGATCAAATTAAATGTATATTATATTATATCATATGATATCAGAATTTTGGAATTTATTTTAAATATATATTTTTATTATATTAAATGGTCTTGGATTTCCGATGCCAAATTAAATATATATTTTAATATATAACATGGTCTCGAAAATTCCTCGGAAATTCCGAAACCATATTAAATATATATTTTATTATATTACATAGTCTCGGAATTTTTGAGGCCAAATTAAATATATATTTTAATATACTCCATTCGTCCCGTAAAGAAATATTCATTTGCTTTTTGCACGTAATTTTAGAACATTAGTATTATATTGGAATATAGTATGAATAAAATAAAAATGACTAAAATAACCTTATTAGTATGTGTGATATAAAGGTTTACATTTGTGTAATATATTGTAAGTTATAAGGGTATTTGTAATATTATGTAGATAGTACAATTAATAAAAAAAGAAATGAATACTTTGTTATGGGATTGACTAAAATAAAAAAATAGATACCTTGTTATGAGACGGAGGGAGTTTAAAATTGTCTCGAAAATTCCAAGGCGAGATTAAATATATATTTGATTATATTAAATGATATTAAATATATATTTTATTATATGAAATTGTCTCGGAAATTCCGAAGCCAAATTTAATATATATTTGATTATGTTAAACGGCATTAAAAATATATATTTTTTATTATATGAAATTGTCTCGGAAATTTCAAGGCGAAATTAAATATATATTGTATTATATAAAATTGTCTCGGAATCTCCAAAGCCAAATTAAATATGTATTTTATTATATTAAAAAGTCTCAGAAATTTCGAAGCTATATTAAACATATATTTAATTATATAAGATGGCCTCAGAATTTCCGAATCTATTAAATACTCCCTCCGTCCCAGATATCATGTTCATGTTGTCGTTTCTGTCCGTCTCACGTACTATGTCACTTTCTATTTTGGAAAATTATTACACACTTTAATCTCATTTTAAATTTTATTTTTTTAAATTTTAATTAAACTAATTAGTTATCTTAATTATCTACTAATTACACCACTCCTAAAAATATCGTATCTACAGTGTAGCAGACACTGTATCTGAAACGGAGGAAATATTTTTTTTTTAAAAAAATTAAACAAAACCAACCCTATAAACATCATTACTATTTCCTCCTTCCCCCTAAACCCTAAATCCTTTCCTCCCAAAATCAAAATATTTCTTTCCCCCCAAAAATTCCTTCTTCCTTTTCTTCTTCTTCAACTCCTCCTCGTACTATTTCCTTAATTATTTTTCCTCTCTTTCTTCCCTCCCTTAATTCCTCCACCTTCTTCTTTTACCATAATCTTTCCATTCTCCCCCTTCTTCATCAACGACGGCGGCAGAGACGCTGCGGAGGCGGCGGCGAGGGCACCGGCAGCACGTCGGGTACTTTTGCCGGCGAGAACGGTGACGACATCGCCTCTTCTTTCTTCTTCTTCTTTGCCGGCAGCGGCGGACCGGCGGGCGTCCTTCTTCGTGAGGACGGCGGCGGACCGGTGTAGTCTCCTTCTACGGCGTCATCAGCAGCGGCGGGGGACGGCGGCGGAGCCTCCTCGTCCTTCGTTTTCTTCTCCTGCGGCGACGGCGACGGGAGACGCCGGAGCCTCCTTTCTTCTCCGACGGCGGCGGCGGCGGCGGCGAAGGAGGGCCGAGCTTCCTTCTCTTCTTTCTTCTTCGTCTTCTCCGGTGGCGGGGAAAGCGGAGCTCCTTCGTGTACTTTTCCGGCAATGGTCGCGGAAGGATGATGGAACTCCTTCTGCGGCAGCCCTCCTCTTCTCCGGGGGGCAGCGGGCGACGGAGCTTCCGCCTCCTCCTTCATTTCATTCTCCGGCGGCGGGCAGCGGCGGAGGAACGTACATAATATAATTATATATTTATCTTTTAAAAAAATAAAAGAATATTTGCCTCGGAAACCGAAGCAATTTGAAATATAAATATATTTAAAATTTAATACTCCTAGCGCGTGGGTTTAATAGTCTCTCGGAGACTATTAAATAATCAACCGGTGCTTCCGAAATTCTGAAGCTTTTCAAAATAGCTTGGGAAATTTCGAAGCAATAAAAATGGCAGTGAGATTTTCTCTTTGGGTGTAATTTCGAGATAAAATCCGAAGTCAAAATTAATTTGTCTCGAAATTCTTTTAAATTTTGAGGCAAATTTTCGGAGGCTATTTAAAGAATTTCTGATAGTGAGTAAGTGAGACGAAAGGGAGTATGTATATATTTTTTTTATCTAATATATACAAATATTATATTTTTAATTGTTTATAATTCATAAAAAATTATATTCGATGATAATAAAACTAAAAAAATTAATTTATTTTAACTGACTTATTATATATAATAAATAATTGTATTTATATATTTTATAATTATTAAGTTGAAAAATAAAAAATATTGTACAAATTTTTAAATAAACTAGTAAGTTATGTCGAGTATTAAAGTAGGCCAAGCCTAACAATGTCATACTCATATTTTAATTTTATAAAATAGATCTAATCTTGAATATATATATATTTTAACATGGGGATAGACCAAACTAAAGTTTTAATTTTATTAGACAGACATAACCTATTTAACCAACGCCTTAGCCTGGGTGGCCTATTTCCGCAAAAGATCCATTTTGCATCATATCTAAGGGATTCTACCTGTAAATATTATTGGCAGATCAATAAGGCACTTGGGGAAACGATTGGGTTCTATGTTTGTTTTGGGGTTTGGATTGAGATTTGAATAGTAAAAAATTTTGAATTTGAATAGTTGTATGATGTGATATAAATAGATATTGATATGATATTTTGAATGTAAAATTGATATTTCGTATTCTATAAAAAAAAATTGAAAAATAAGGATTTGATTTGATGTTTTTAGGGGAAAAAAATTGGATGAATTCCTCCAAACAAACACAGCCTAAGGAATGAATTAAATTATCTCCGAAATCTATATACTTAATTGAAGGATTAATTACCAATTCATCGGCTTTCCATCGAAAAGATTAAAGTGGCATATATTGCCATAACAATTTAAATATAACAAATAGGAAAGTGGGTGAAAATCAAAACAAATACTCCTGCGTCTTCAAAATTTAAATAATTTTGATTGAACACGAAAGTTAATAAATTATGGTATTATAATATTAAAATAAAGTATGTTAAAGTAACTATATCATACTCTTTCCGATCAAATTTTTTTTTTTCTAAAGTATATTTAAACAATTTTTTCAAAAGTAAATTTACCTTTAGTGTAAAGTAGAAATTAAAAATGGTAAATGAATAAAAAGTAATAAATAAATAAATAAAATTTGTGTTTAAAAAAAAAAAACTATAATCGTTGGATGTTCAAAATAGAAAAATAGAATATAGTTGTGGACGTAATGATGGAGTATGAAATTTATCAAGAACTAGAAAAAAAAATGATGAAGCGAATAAAACATAACATAGCGATAAAATTATTATTATTTTGATAAAGTATGAATAATAATATTGTGCATCAATAAAATAGTTAACTATGAATAAAACGAAAAAAAATTTAGCTAACATAAAAAATATATATATGAATATGGACAATTTTTTTTTTTTTTTATTAAGTGGAAAGCCGCTATCGCTATTCGAAATTGCCGCACTGAGTAATAATTTTAGTAGACGTAGAGGCTGAGGCTATAATATGGCTATGGGTTGGAAACCCAACCGATTCATTTCTATTGTATTGTATGGCTAATTAATTCTTTCTGTGTTGGGAATCCCACACAAGCAATCCAACCACTTTCCCTAATTGCCTTAATGGTTTCATTTCATTAATTACCTTAATAATCTGCTATATTTACACGTCTCAAGAACATCATTTCTTTCGTTAGTGTTGTACTGTCTGGATCTTTTCTATCACCCAGAAAAACCCTTGCTCATTTGAGTATCGAAGGAAAAGAAAATGGAAACAAAAAGTCTGGTGGAAGAAGAAGAAGAAGAAGAGTCACAGAAAGAAATTTGCAGTGGCATCTTGTCTTTGTTGATCCCTCCTTCATCACCATCACCATCACCATCTCCACCTTGGATTGAGTTGCCAGCTGATATCACGTCCAATATCCTGCGAAGGCTCAACGTTGAAGAGATCCTGGAAAGTGCACAGAGAGTATGCACAGCCTGGTGGAGAGTTTGCAAAGATCCTTCTATGTGGAGGGTCATCCACATGGAACCAAGCGGGTCTCTTTCCCGTACAACATTAAGGAAGCTTGAAATGATGTGCCGTGAAGTTGTTGATCGTAGCCAGGGACAGTTAATCGACATTACAATTGTGTGTTTTGGAACCAATGACTTGATTTCCTATGTTTCACAAAGGTACTGTTTGAACAAATTCTAGTTTCAAGAAACTAGAAAATTTCGATTTTCTATCTTGCATAACTGAGATGAAATGGCTTAAATTCCATATGCGACTGTTCTTATTGTTTGTGTCCTTTGGGATGGTTTTCCATTATTCATATGTGTTGTTGTCATGTCAAAACAGGTGCAGTCATCTCAAATGCCTAAAGCTTGGGCATTGCGTTTTGGTTTCCAGCAAATGTCTTAAAGTTGTCGCTCAGAATCTCAAGAAGTTAGAAGAATTGCATCTTGTAATAGATGAGATTCCCCCTGAGGATATTGAAAATATTGGCACCTCTTGTCCTCAGTTGAAGTCCTTCACTTACTTCTCTACTAATATTGATATAGTTGATGAATATGCAATGGCAGTTGCAAGAAGCATGCCTAATTTGCACCACCTCTGCCTTTTCGGGCACAGGATGACGAACAAGGGATTGGAAGCAATTCTTGACAGCTGCCCACGTCTCGAATCACTTGATATCCGTAGATGCTTCAATATTGATTTACCGGACAATCTGCGCAATCGATGTTCCAAGCAGATAAAACATTTGATGCGTCCCAATGATCCCATCTATGATCCTCCCTGGCCTTTTATAATCAACTTTGTTTATGAGTTACTATATGACCCTGTCTATGCACTCAAGTTATACTATTTTCGTCCCGATTATCCAGTGCTACGATTCTACTGACCCTAATATCGACTTTTATTGATATCTTCTGGTCTAGTCTCATTATCTGCTGCCTTGCTACAGCTTGATGTAAGAACATTATCTGTTCTGGTCTCCATGATCTTCCATTCGTTTTTGATCTATTTTGTCTAAGAGAAGTTTTTTAGATGGATTAGCTGATCTCTATTGATGAAACAACGATGCTTGTTTGAATTTTCTATTTGTTGGCATTTTGAAATTTGTTGTCGATGATTTACATCCAAAAAACATTATTGGAAATTTTGATGTTTATTTATAGAAAGTTGATGTAATAGGACCTATATGTTTATTATATATACTAGTAAAATTTACCTGTAAAACAAATTAATAAAAAAAAATCATTATCAAATTAAAAATAAAATAAAAGTTAATTTGTAAAAGTAAGTTATATTTTCCAATATATTTATTTAGTTTGGCTTTAGTATTGTGTTATTGTATTTAATATTAAAAATATTTATTTATATGATTTTTTGCCAAAATGTCCGGTATAAGACCTATTTGATTTTCTTTTTTTTTCATTTTACTTTGATTTGTACTTAAATTTTCATATAATAATTAATATTCAAATATCAATAGTTCAATATGCAAAAAGTAAGACCCTTATCTTTTCCTAATTTAGATCGTTGTTTAGCTTTTGAAAAATTGGTGCATTTGTTACTTGTTGGATTATTTAGTTGAAAGTTGAGTTATAATTGATTAATTTAATTAATATTTGGTTTAGTATATAATATATACTTTCCCTGTTCAACTCGATTATAAAGTAAGTATTTTAGTAAATACTTTATTTTTTTTTATAAATATTTTTATTTTATCATTATATAATTACTTTTACATGAAATTATCTACACATTACTTTTAATTTTTCACTACAATTAAAATACCATTACTTTTTAAACTCCACGTCAAAAAATAAATATATACTTATTAGCCCGATAGAGTATAAAATTAAAAAAAAATTGAAAAATACGTGTTTAATTATTTTAATAATTATATTTAAAAAATATATATAATAATAGAGAATAAAATGTGATATAACAAATAAATAGAGAAATATAAATATTTATTTATAATTAATATTCTCTCCGTCCAGCTAGAAAGTATACATATTTCTATTTTGGGGCGTCCAATTACAAAGCAAACATTTCATTAAATACTTCACTTTTTCCAAAAACACCTTTACTTTATATCACATCATTACTTTTATGCTAAAAAACAAGGGCAAAAATGTTATTACACTACATTTAATTACCACTATAATTAAAATACTATTATTTCTTAAATACCGCGCCAAAACTAAATGTATATTTTATCCGTGGACGTAGGAAGTATAAATTAGTTTTCAAATAAATAGGAAGTTTTGAATGTATATAAATAAAAATTTTTACCTATGAGAGGTAAAAATAAAATTTTGAATGGAATTTGAGTTGTCTCATATGTAGGGGTGGAAATAGGTCAGGACAGACAAGACTTTCGCTAAACAGACCAGGCCTATTTTATAAAATTAAAGCCGGAGCCTGACCTATCGGCTTATTAAAATATATATGTAAGACCTAGGTTTGGCCTACTTTAAAACTTGACCTACGAGCCTATTTAAAAGACTATATAATATTTTTTATTTTTTTATTTTTCGATTTAATATTTATAGAAAAATATATACAATTATTTATTATATATAATAAGTCAGTTAAAATAAATTAATTTTTTAGTTTTTATTGTCGCCAAATATAATTTTTTATAAATTATAAACAATTAAAAACATAATATTTATATATATCAGATAAACAAATATGCAATATAAATAGATAAACAGGCCGGCCTCATAGGCCAAAAAGGCTTTTCGTAAAGCCTACGCTTGTTCTATTTATTTAAAAAGACTTAGAAATATATCTGAATTTAACTTTGTTAGTAAACAGGCCAGGCCAACTGAGGCCTTATGCAGCCAAACTGTAGGCCCCTGATAGGCGGCCTTGCCTATTTCCATCCCTACTCATATGATATAATATTTTGAAAAAAAGTTGAAAACATAACGTCAACTTTGGCCAAAAATCAACCAAACACAACCTTATATGATTAACAAAGTTAATATTAAAAATATGGTAAATTATACCATACGCTCTTGTGTTTTAGTAAAAATGCATAAAACACCACGTGTTTTATTTATTGTGTGAAACCCCTTATGTTAATATAAAGTTTACATTAAACACCCTTTTTGTCTAAAATTGATATTTAGTTTTAAATATAGACCTAAATTATGCAAGTTTTATACAAATAAAAAATGTAAAATATTTTAAATAAGTTTTTGAATATAAAAAATAAATAATTGATTAAATCATTTATTTTTATATTTTTAAAGTTATTTGTCTTAAAAAAATTATAAAACGAAGGATTAATCAATTATTTATTTATTTTATTCAAAAAATATTTAAAATATTTTACATTTTTTATTTGTATAAAACTTGCTTAATTTAGGTGTTTATTTAGAACCAAATATCAGCTTTGGACAATGAGAGTGTTTCATTCCAATTTTATATTAACACAATGAGATTTCATACAATAAATAAAACACTAATTGTCTTATACTTTTTTACTTAAACACAAAGAATGTTTTATAATTACCCTTAAAAATAAAAATAAATCAAATTTTATTTTTCATGTTGATAATAAATATAATATGCTAAAGAATTACATGTGTCTAAAAAACAAACGACGACCAACAACCCAATGAAGGCTTTTGAGTTTTGAGGCATTCATAAATAAAGATGGTACGGGAAGTGGTGAGAGTCACCAAATCCTTACTGAGCTTTTGTCCATTTTCAATGTGTTTTCTTTGCTGATAATGTAAAATTCGATGCTGGAAGTACGACTAACGGTAGATATTTCAATTTTTCCCAAGTTGTTGAAATAACATATTTGTGTAGCAGTAATACCATAATTTCTAGAAATCGATAAAACAGAGAAGGAAGAGCAGGTTTTATTTTTTCTCGTATTGAAAAAAATAAAGGGAGTAATGATTAAATAACAATGCAATTCAAAACTCTTTGTAAATAACTACTCTAAATATCGAGAGGATAGGAACAATAAGGATAGAAAATAAAAAATAAAGTCAAGATGGAATGCAAATTTGCAATGCCAATCTTGCCAAGAAAAAAATTGAGTTGTTGAGCTGTGAGTCCCTTGGTTAGCAAGTCTGCTACTTACATCTTACTGGTGATATTCATTGGTACTATATCTTTCGATTCGACCCTTTCACGTACGAAATGACAGTTCATTTCGACATATTTTGTTCTTTTGTGGAAAATGGGATTATTAGCTATGTGTCGAGCTGCTTGGTTATCACAAAACAAGAAAGTCGGAAATGTATTATGAACTTGCAGCTCACCAAGTAACCATGGAACCCAAATAATCTCACTAAATGTGGAAGCCATTGCCCTGTACTCTGCTTCAACGGAAGAGTGAGAGACTACTGATTGTTTCTTGGTTCGCCAAGAGATAGGAGTCCAAGTAAGCAAGAGGCAATAATCAGTACGTGACCGTCTTGTATAGGGACATCCTAAACAATCAGAGTCGCAATAAGCAGTTAAGACATGATATCATGCTTGAGAGAGAAGAATACCTTGGCCAGGTGTCGCATTTAAGTAACCAAGAACACGATTTGTTGTCTCCAAATGATTGTTATGCGGATCAGAAACAAACTAGCTTAATACATTCACGGAATAGGCGATATTTGGCCGAATGGTTTGAAGGTAGAGGAGTCGGCCAATGAGTCAACGATACTGTCTTGCATCCACCCGGGGTTCATTTTCTCCTTTGTCTAAGTTCAAGCCTTGTTCAATGGGAAAGGAACTTGGTTTGCACCCCATCTTCCCACTACTCTCCGGAATATCCAAAGTGTATTTTCGTTGGCTTATGACAAGACCATCATTTGTTCTTGTTCCCTCAATTCCAAGGAAATACTTTAATGAACAAGGTCTTTAATGCTGAATTCATCATCAAGCTGCTTTTTGGTTTCTTGAATTTTGGTGAGATTGTTCCCAGTAATGATTACGTCATCTACGTAAATTAGAACGACCACTATTGTGCTCCCTTCTTCATAAAGAAAGAGTGAGTAGTCGGCCTTGGACTGTCTAAAATTTAGAGTTAAGAGGAAGACAGTGAACTTGTGATACCAATTTCACAAAGCTTGCTTTAACCCGTATAAAGATTTTCTTAGCTGACAAACACGGGTGTCATTATCCTTCGAGAAACTTTGAGGGATTTTCATATAAACTTCCTCATCAAGCTGCTTCTTGGTTTCTTGAAATTTTGTGAGATTGCTCCCAGTAATGATTACGTCATCTGCGTAAATTAGAACGACCACTATTGTGCTCCCTTCTTCATAAAGGAAGAGCGAGTGGTCGGCCTTGGATTGTCTAAAATTTAGAGTTAAGAGAAAGGCAGTGAACATGTGATACCAATTGCGCGAAGCTTGCTTTAACCCGTATAAAGATTTTCTTAGCCAACAAACACGGGTGTCATTATCCTTCGAGAAACCTTAAGGGATTTTCATATAAAATTCCTCATTAAGGTCTCCATGTAGGAAAGCATTGTTCACGTCAAGTTGATGGATGATCCACTCATTTTTTACTTCCACTACTAAAAGAGTGCGAACGGTTACCAACTTGGCCACCGGTGCAAAGGTTTCATGATAATCCACTCCTTCCATTTGAGTGAATCCCTCGCAACTAGAAGAGCTTTGTACATTTCAACTTCGCCATTCGGCTTGAATTTGATCTTGTAGATCCACTTTGAATCAATAGCCCGTTTTCCTTCTGGTAATTTTTCTAAAGTCCAAGTATCATTTTTCTTGAGTGCCTCGATCTCTTTTTTCATGGTCTCACGCCATCGAGCATCCTGTGCAGCTTGGCTGAAAGACTTAGGCTCATCATTATTGGTGATGGCCGCTAAGAAGGTCTTATGATTAGTGAAGAACTTATCATAAGAAACAAAGTTAGAGATTAGGTAGCGTACCATAGAGGTAACTTGATTGGATGCAGGGTGTTTGATTGAAGGGGGAACTTGGACAACATAGTCTTTGAGCTTTAATGGCTGATATTTTGTTTAAGTGGGTCTTGTCTCAGCTTGGTTTTCAACTTCATCAACCAGCTCATTTATCTCACCCTTATTATTAAAGCCTGTTTAATCAGCATCCCCAACACTGTTCTTATGATCCAATTCATCTCCAACGCGTGGTTCACTTGAGACATCGTTCGGCTCATTTCCTTCTACATGAACAAAATCGATAGTTCTTGGTTCTTGAACCATTGGAATTTGTTCCTCAGTCTGAACCATTGTGGCCTCATGATGACTGATGTGATCATGACATTTCATTGGTTCCTCGGTGGAATCTTCATTAATTTCTCGGATATTTTTTAAAGGGAATTTTCGTTCATAGAAATCAAAATTTCTACTCACTACTATTTTTCTGGTTTCATGATCAAGGATTTTATAGCCCTTAATCTATTGTGGATATCCAAGAAAGACTCCTGGCTTCCCCCTTTCTTCAAACTTATCTCTCATTGTATTGTTGTTTGTGAAATACGCAAGACACCCAAAAACTCTTAGAAATTCATAATCTGGTTTTTATTTTTTTATTTTATTTTTTCCAAATCAGCTCAAAAGGAGTCTTATTTTTAATAACTTTGGATGGAAGACGGTTGATCACATAAGCAGCGGTTAGGATGCATTATCCCCAAAATTGTTTAGGAAGACTTGCATCGAACCTTAAAGCCCGAGCAGTTTCAAGCAAGTGCCTGTATTTTCTTTCGACAATGCCATTTTGTTGATGGGTGTGTGGGCAGGTGGCTTCTAATAAGATCCCCTCCTTATTATAAAAACTTATCATGTAATTAGATGTGAATTTCCCACCATTATCGTATCTTATCCTCATAATCTGCTTTTCGAATTGGACTTCAACCATTTTATGAAAATCCATGAGGCATTTTCTGGCCTCACTTTTATGTTTAATGGGAAACACCCAAACAACCCTACTAAAATCATCCGTATTTGTAATAAAATAGTTGGCTATTGTATCCGAAGGTACCCGATAACATCCCCATATGTCACAATAAATTAATTCAAAATGGGCATGGGTTTTTATATAACTGAAAAAAAAATGGCGTTTTTGTATGTTTTGCTCTAGCACAAGAATCACAGAAATTATTGAAGTCAATAGTACTTGTTCTAAGAAAATCAAACTTAGCAAGCTTCTCTTTTGATGCATGTCCAAGTCTTTTATGCCATGTCTCAACCGTGGCTGTTATCGCTTTTCTTTCTTGAACCATCTTCATCCGGTGGAGTCCCCTTTTACACTTACCCGCACCAATTAAATTCTTCCTCTGTAGTCCCTGCATGACACAAAAATCAGGAAAGAAAGATATGGAACATTGCAGGTCCCGACAAAGGCAACTAATTGAAACAAGGTTGCATTTGAAATCAGGAATACATAAAACCCTCTTCACTTTGGCTCCTCCTGGAAGGGTGTGATCCCCTTTCCTTTTAACTGGAATCAGATCCCAGTGGGAATAACAACAAGTTCCTCAAGAGAGGTGGCTTTCTTGTTGTCAAGGACGTGGGGTAGGTGAGTTATATATTCGGTGCAACCCGAATCAATGATCCACTCACCCTCGATGTCTTCCTTATGAGCCATGTTAGCAACGGGTTTGGCACTTTTACCATTAGCCGATCCAGAGAATTGTTTCAAGAAGAGTTGATAGTCCTTGTATGTTAATCCAGGAATGGTACATGTCTCTGTTTCGACACAAGAAGCCTTGGCCTTGGTCTTTTCGCTTTTCTTTTCGGGCCACCACTCCGGATACCCGATCAACTTGAAGCAGCCTTCTTGCCTATGACCATCTCTGTTGCATTCGGTGCAACGTTCAGCTTTGGATCCACCTCTTTCTTTGTTTGAACTTGGAGGACCATTCCGCCTTTGAAAGGCCTTACACAAGGGATTCATGGGAATTCATATTTTCATTTGATATGGCTCTTTACCTCTCATCCTTGGCCACCATGTGATACGCCATGCCAAGTGAAGAAGTCGGCTTCGTGACTAAGATCTGGGTCATTAATTACAACAATGCTTTCAGCTGCAATTAATATATCATCCATATACAATAGCAGATACACAAAGAAATCACTAGAAACTTTCTTCGAGTAAACACAATTATCAAACTAATTACGAATATAACCATTAGACACCATGAAAGAATCAAATCTCTTGTACCACTACCTCAAAGACAGTTTCAAGCCATATACAGATTTCTTTAACAAGCAAACTTGGTCCATTTTAGAACTGTCGAAGCCCTTCGATTGAGACATGTAAATCCATTCTTCTAGATTACATTGAAAGAATGATGTTTTTACATCAAGCTGCTCAAATTCCAAATCAAAAGTACCCACCATTGCCAAAAGAACCCGGATGGTTTTGTGTTTCACCACAGGAGAAAAAACTTCATGGTAATCGACTTCTTCCTTATGTGAGAACCCTTCACTAGTCTCGCCTTGAACCTAGCAGGTTCAATGCTAGGAACTCCCTCATTTCTTTTAAAGACCCACTTGCATCCCACTGGCTTAACCCCTTTTGGTAGTGCAACGAGATCCCATGTCTTGTTCTTTTCAAGAGACTGCATCACTTCATTCATTGCTATAATTCAGTTTTCTACATCTTTACTTGCCACAAGTTTTTTGATCCTCAGAGCCAAGATCATCACCAACAGCCAATGTATAATCCACAAAATCCATGTCACATATATTGACACATCGTACAAACCTAGCTGGTTTTTGAATATTTCTTTTTTCCATTCTAGCTGCTATGGAATCTTTAACCACAGTACCAGTGTCATCAACTTCCTCCCTAACAGATTTCCCTTGAGGTTTTTACTGATCTGGTTGATCGAATTGATCAATAGTATTATCCTGCTACTCTCCTTTATCACAACTCTGTCAGGAGTCTCAAACTCCACTTTCTGGTCAGTACCATAATCTTTTATACCTGCAATACTTTCACAACCTCCACTCTGATCAAACATAGCAGATTCATCAAATTTTACATCTCTGCTAATGAGAAATTTACCAGGATTTTTACAATCTATACACCACAGTCAATAACCTTTGACTCAAGTTGCATACCCTAGAAATATGTATTTTACCGCTCTCGGCTCCAACTTACCATTATTCACATGAACATATGCAAGACATCCAAATATTCTTATATTAGAGTAATCAGAGGGTTTATCGGACTATAACGTGTCCGGAAGCTGACACGTCCGGCGCCTAGGCCACGCCCGCGCTGAGGCCCAAACCAGCCATCCCCTGTGCACAACACGCCTGGGATATACCATACAGTATGAGAGAATCATGCGGAACACGTACCTGCACCAAGATATGGGTCATTAGTCGGCCGTACATGACAGGAGCTCGCACACATGGGATGGACTATGGCCGAGAACCAGGGGCAGGAATGTTAGCCCGTGACAAACTTCCCCACTTCAAGTCGCAAACGCCCTTGTGAGACGCTATTTGAGTGCGCTGACGTTGTTTCTTGCACTGTCGGTACGCCTCCAACATCACTCCGTCGACCCTTTTCCTGCATACCATCTTCTGGTGCTCACCAACAGCCAGCGAGGTCTTTTGCCATAATCAACCCACATGCGACCCAATTTCTGCTGCGCATCTCCACACACCATCCGGGACATCCTTTGTTGCGGCTTGTGCGATATTCGCCCGATGATCATCCTTAACGTGGTTTTGCCCTCACGAACAAAGCTCGGCCCTCTTAGCCCTTCAGCAACGTCGAGCATACTCTCCCTCCTTGGGATGTCCAGTTACCTTAGGAGATGCTTTTCCTTGACGTTCTCGGCCACGTCGGATTGTCTAGCTACCTTAGGACATTCTTATTCTTGACGTACCCACAGACATGCTCCTCGAGGAATGTCCCCTTTGTCGCTTTGTTCGCCACCAGCGTCAAGGTTGCTCTGATACCATGTGTAACATGTCCGGAAGCTAACACGCCCCACTACAAAAAAAATCATAAGTTGCAATAGAATTATTCCGTCGCAAATGAATATTTTTCCATCGCAATTTTATGCTGCGATGGATTTTACATCCAAATGGAAACTGCCGCAGAATATTGGTTGTAATTCCCAAACGACAAATTGGGTTCCATCGCAGAAAATTGCAATGAAAGTAACAATGGTAATTTCGTCGCAACATTGCAATGAAAGCAACAATGAACATTCCGTCGCAACATTACAATGGAGTTAATCTTTTACTAATTCCGTCACAACATTAAGAATATTACAAAAGAATAATTTTGTTGCTAATTCCGTTGCAAAATTCATGATCCAATTCAATTATTTTATTTTTTTTGTCCGTTTTTTCAAATATCTGTAAAGCTAATATGAATTCAAAAATAAATTAGTTTAATAAAATATATTATAATATGAACAAAATATAGTTAATATCAAAACCCATTACCAAATATCAAACATACATTGGAGTTAGCAACTTAGCAAATATCATTGCCAAAAAAAAAAAAAAAAAAAAAAACGTAGAGATATTATTAAATTATGTATGGAGAAAGTACCAGTATCAAGCATTCATACTCAGGAATGCATTTCACATTCCATGCTCGGTCAACACAAACACAAATATCAAATGTTGACATAGATGCAAATGCATAAAAAGAACATGATAGACTGCATGAAAAAAAAATCAAAATTTAAAAACATAAATAACAAAACAAAATAAATTTAGGAAAGCAAAGGATAAACCAAGATTCAGGACTTGTTCTGATAACATACCAATGCAAATGTCAGGAAGATATGTTGCCAGGAACTTAAGCTTTCTAAGGTCTATATATGAATTCTGGACTCATCGTCAGCTATTACCTAAGAAGCATATATTATCAATCTTAGACAAACATAATAACGAGGATGTGGAAAGTGGTAAATTTAGGTAACAAGATTATTCCAAACAACTTTTACAATTAGATGTTGGGGTTTCCACACCTGCAGGTTCAATCAAGTATAGAAAGTAAAAGGAAAATATAAAGCAAAGAGAACAATTTTACCAGACTCTGAATCCTAGCAATTGGATATTTGTGATGTTATTACAATGTCAGAAAGAACGTTCGACTGATGTGTAAGAGAACAAAAAACTACCTTGCCCAAGTGTGATATGCGGCCAACAACTTCATAAAATATATTAGTAAAAATGAATCACTAAGTTAAACAATTACCATGGATGCAGAATTCGAAGGAAACATAAATTAAATTCAATATATCATCACTAACCTGTGATTAATACAGTTCCTCAAAGAAACTCATACATATTGTTGATGTATTTTTTCAACAAAAATAAAGTAAAATTCAAAGATATAGAAAATATCCTTAAACTTGATTAATTAGTGCCTGAGATTAGGAATCTCTAAACACTGTACGGTACAGAAAATAAACTGGAAAATAAAAGACTGAAATTTAAAGTGGTGATCCCCAAATCTGACTTTGCTTTGTTGAAGTTGATTGAAGATGCCTTGCCAAATGATGATCCAAATCCTTAAATATTCTTTGAAGAAACTGTACTGAAAACCGTCGCCCGAACGGTTACAACGTCTCCTTCCCAACCGTCTTCCAACCCTTCTCCTGCTGACACGTGTCCTCAGCAGACCAAAATTATCCCTATATTTCACTTTTTGAGCCGACCACAGACCTTCCGCCCTTTTGGCCCGACTTCGTCCTTCGCCCGACCTGCTTCTTCGCCCGACCTCACTTGGGCTGACCTCCGCATCAGCCGCCCTCCGTCTTTGACCGAAGACCTCCGCGTCTGTCCGTACCTCTTCCTTGCCCGACCTTCCTCTTGACAGACCTCCGCGTCTGCCCGACTTCGCCTTCTATCCGATCTACGGTTTACCCGACCTGCGGACTTCCCATCCTGATGACTTTTCGTCTTGAGGACCTCCCGACCTGAAGACCTTCCGACCTGAGGTCTTTCCGTCCTGAGGACTTTCCGTCTTGAGGACCTCCCGACTTGAAGACCTTCCGACCTGAGGTCTTTCCGTCCTGAGGACTTTCCGTCTTGAGGACCTACCGACCTGAAGACCTTCCGACCTGAGGTCTTCCCGTCCTGAGGACTTTCCGTCTTGAGGACCTCCCGACTTGAAGACCTTCCGACCTGAGGTCTTTCCGTCCTGAGGACTTTCCGTCTTGAGGACCTACCGACCTGAAGACCTTCCGACCTGAGGTCTTCCCGTCCTGAGGACTTTCCGTCTTGAGGACCTACCGACCTGAAGACCTTCCGACCTGAAGTCTTTCCGTCCTGTATTTTCCTTGATTTCCACACGGTGTCCTTCAGCCAGTTCAACCAACTCTATTGCCAGGCCCATTCTTCTTTTTACCTTGGGCTTTTAACCTAATTCTAAATTTCGTACGTAACAACTTGCCCGCCGCCAAGGGACTTTCAAACGCCATTTAACAATCAATGTTTGGAAGTTCATAAATCACCACCCTCTTGAAAAATTCCCTTAGCAACTGCACCAGTTACTGCAACACTCCTGATTAACTTCCTTCTCTGCAAAACGAGCTTTTGTGAATCACAACCCCAAAACACTCTAACCATGGCGAATCAATACATTCCTGCCCTTCCTTTCGACGGAACCCTCCCAGAGGGCCCATTTTCAGCCTCGAAAGTACTAACTCCGACGATCCGTCCATATTGCACTACTCCTGAAGACTCAAATCGGATGAGGGAAGTTTTGGAATCTCGAAATTCCTTGGCTATCAACAACCCTAACTACCAAGCAGTTCGCATTCGAGACAGCATCAAAACCCATCTCACAGACCCAAAAGATCCTTACCGCTCTTGGTATCGACGGGTAGCGGAACACTTCCAGACCCAATGGCGATCTCAAAAAATCGACCAAGCAATACTATTGTCCACCATGCCGATCAATCTGCACGAGAAGGTGCTCCTAGCCATGTCTGCCTTCTGGAATGCGGAAAATGAGACTTTTCTCTTACCATCGGGCCCCTTTGGTCCAACTCTTATGGATGTGGCAATG